AGGAAAACCTGTGAAAAGTCAGTCTTGTAGCTTCCACTTATACTGTAAATGTCATTTCTGTACATCCTAACAATAAACAAAGTCAATGCTAACCACTAACACTTCCAAATACCATGAGGCTATTAAAAAAAAATAAACACTGATGCCGAATTGAGATGTTGTATTTAACTGACATGGGAAATACCAAAGATATGATACTTTGCATGTAGAAAAAAGAAAACATAACTATGTGGGTCATTTGAGCTCTCCCCTTTTGTTGTTTAGTCATTTTCAATCATACCCAATTGTTTGTGACCCTACTTGGGGTTTTCTTGGCAAAGAAACTGGAGTGGTTTTGCCATTTCCTTTTCCAGCTCGTTTTATAGATGAGGAAACTGAGGCAAACAGGTTTAAGTGACTTGCCCAGGGTCACATAGTTAGTAAGTGTCTGAGGCCAGATTTGAACTCAGGAAGATGAATCTTCCTGGCTCCAGGCCTGGTATTCTATCCACTGAGCCACCTAGCTACCTTAGTTCTCCCCTGCTAATATTCAATTTCCTTACTATAAAACAGAGTCATTTGAACTTACTACCAAGCATATCAGATATAGAAAAAAAATAGTTTTAGCTAGACTGCCTCGTGATTCTGTTTCCCTTCTTAGTGGTTTTGCTCCCCCCCCAAAAAAAAATTCATGCTACAAAGAAGTGAAATTCTAGCATGCTGTTATTGTGGGTCCCAGGGCCTGTTCCTTATCAAGGTCCTCTGCCCCTTCTCCAAGGTCATTTGCTCTGTCATAAAGTGCTTTTTTCCTGCATTTGTCTTTGTCACTGCCTGTTCACCACTGTCTTGATATCACATGTTCTGAAATGCCCATTTTGCTGGAACTATTTCTGGCTGCTCATCTTTCAGCCATGGCCCCATCCTATTATAGCTGACTCACCCTACTCAGACATAGGTGCCAGCTCCCAGAAGACTTGTTCACCAGATTATCTTTTTTTTCTCTTATCCAGCTAATTCATTTCATTCTGGAATCTAGTAGTCCCAGTTCTTGTCTTAGTAAGCTTCATCTAATCTCTTTTTGATGATTCTATTGATGACCTCAACTTCTGAACATCAATTTTCCTTGTATAGTATTATTTTGTAGGTGTAGGCAATTGGACATATGTACTGCGTAAGTGCCTGATGTCAGATTGTTTTTATCAGATGGAGTGTGCAGTACATGGGGAGGTAGGCTGTGAGTCAGGAAAACCTACGTTTGAATCCCATCCTGAGATGCTTGCTAACTGTGGAACATTGACAAAGTGTCTGAGTTGCCTCAGAAATTTCAGCTGCCTCATCTATAAAATAGGAATAGTACCTCTGGTATTTATGAGACTCAGATATGTAAAGAACTTTGCAAACCTTACCAAGATATGTAAATATCAGTTATTATTTCTTCTCATTTGTAATTTGTCTTTATTCAGACTTGTAAGAGCATTGGACCTAAAGGTAGTGGATTTTAGTTTGAATCCCAGGCTTGCTACTTGCTACCTGTGTGACCTTAGGCAAGTTGCTTGTCATCTTTAAACCTCAATTTTTTCATCACTAAAAAAAGGAAGATGGACTCAATGACGCCTGGGATCCCTTTCAGTTGGAAACTGACTTCATTGATGCAGGTTGACCATTCATCTGTATTTTAGATTCTAAGAAAGTTACCAAAGGACAGTAAGAGGTAAATGACATGTCTCATGGTTACTCACAGCTGGCAAAAGTCAGACACAGTATTTGAACTGTAGTCTGATTCCAAAGCCAGTCTTTTATCCACTGCCCCATCTAGTCTCTTTATCATTTGCATATTATTCAGAAAAGTGATGAAGAATTCCAAATGGGAAAGTAGATGGATTTATTTGAGCGCTCCCATTAAGGGAATTTCTTATCCTCAAGGAGCTTACATTCTAATGGTGGGGGACAACATGTAAATGGAAGCTGAAAAGAGATGCTGGATGGAGCAGGTCATGAAGGAGAAGTATGGAGTACAGCTTGGTGAAAAATGAAGAGATGGTTGGCCTAAATGTCCTCCTTAAATGAAGGTTCTGGGAGGAGCCATCCAGAGAGAGGGTGGCTGCAGAGGTAGCATGTATTTCAGGCATGTGAATTCCAGGGCAGTAGTGATCTTCAAGTTTAAAGAAGTTTACAGCACCAGGTGGAGAAGTCCAGAGTGTGGCCTGGTACAGTGAATCCCATTTCCATATAACCATTTACCTATGATCAGGAAAGAACAAATACAAAAGAGAAGTAGGAAATGCATTTACAGATAAATGACAGTTGGGTGGGAAGGTAAGGCAGCTTCCCCTTCCCCTCCATCCACTCTTGGTTCTCAGCTTCCTCCTCACATAGCCACCAGGGAAGTGAGTTCATCCAGTCAAACCTTTCATATGCACAATCAGGTCCATTTTAGCCTCTCCTGAGTCATTAGTCCTTCCAAGTCTTTAGCCAGCCAGAAGAATCTTCATCAGCATACTACTAACTCCAAGTCATCATAACTAAAACTAGCATGAGTTTCTATGTTTGCTTTGATAGCCTGTGGAGAATATTGCATATATTCCGTATGACCCACCAGGGAGGGTACATAAAATCATGGTCCAAGGACTGGGCCCCATCATCCAGTCTCCCCCATTCTGTATTGATTTGCTTGTTTTCACATCATTGTTATTTTCCAATGATCCTCCAACCCTGACATTTATCCCCTACCTTTATAATAAATAGGTACAGGCAAGCAAAACAAATGAACACATTGGCCATGTCTGTAAATGTATGACTCATTCTGCATCTGTGGTAAACCACCTCTCTGCTGAGAGATGGGAGGCATGCTTCACCATCTATCTCCTAAAATCACTCTCTGTCTTATTTCCTGAAAGACACAAACAGCTGATTGCAGCTGGTCCAAATGGACACAGCCAGGCTTGGGGGAGATCCAGGATGCTCTGAGGATGTGAGTTAAGCCTGGACATCTGGCAGACACCCCCAAGGTCTTAACTAACATAAGCATGAGATATATAGATACGTAATATAATAGATAAGAATGGCCTAACATAAATGATGTTAGAATGTGATTAAATGTTCAAAACAGGTCAAACTGAGTATCCTGAGGGGACAAACAATCACACTTCACTAGGCAGATCAGAAAAGACATCATGGTGTGAGAAAGGAGGAGAACATCAGAGCTGAGACTATATAGAGGTTAAGAAGACTTTAACCAAAGTGGAGAGTCAGAGCAGAGGGAGGATGCAGTATGGTGGTGATGGAGAATCTGGTTGCACTATAGGACTGGAACTGTTAGATTACTTTCCTAAGAAAATACAGCTTGGAAATAGTATAGCTGGAACTCAAACTCCATTCTGCTGATTCTAAATCCCCTATTCTCAGGGTGCTACCCATATTTGGAGAATGGTTTTTGTTTGGTATTTGTTTGTTTGTTTTGTTTTTAGGGTACCATTATGGATCTTGTGTAGTGGCTAGGATGCTGGATTTGGAGTCAGGAAGACTGAAGTTTGAATCCTACCTTTTAATCCATACTTGCTACTTGACCACTGGCAATTCAATTGAATGCTGAGTCTCAGTTTCCTCATTTGTAAAATGGGAATAATAATACCTCTATTACCTACCTCTCAGGATCAAATGAGATAAAGTTTATAAAACACTTTGTAAACATAAGAACAATAAAGAAATATCAGTTGTTATTGTTGTTTCTCTAGTTGTGAATAACTGAGTGATTGTGGGGTGGGCGGGGGCATTGGGGAGGAGAGACCAAGAGATTGAATTTAGGACAGACATGTAAAAAAACCACCTAATTTTATTGCTATGTGAAATGTCTATGCTGCAGATGAAATAGAGCACATTGAATCCCAGCTCTGATACTTACTAGCTTTGTAGCTCTGAACAAATCATTTAATAACGATAGCTAGCATTTATGTATAGCTTTAAAGTTTACAAAGTAGTTTAAAAATGTGATCTCATTTTGTTCTCACATCAACCCTAGGAGGTAAGTGCTATTAGTATTCTGATTTTACAGATAAGAAAACTCAGGCAAGTGGAAACTAAGGGACTCACCCAGGGTCACACAGTCAGTAAGTGTTTGAGGCAAGATTTGCACTCAGACTTTACCAACTTCAGATCTGGCATTCTATTCAATGTGCCACCTATATTCCTCTCTGAGCTTCACTTTCTTCAATTGGAAAATAGGAAAACAATATGAAAACTATCTGCCTTATAGGACCATTTTGAGGAAAGCACTTTATAAATCTTTAAATGTACTTTTTAAACATGAGCTATACAAGACTCATTGGAAAAGACCCTGATGTTGGGAAAGATTGAAGGCAAAAGGAAAAGGGGATGGTGGAGGATGAAATGGATAGATGGTGTCATGGAAGCAAACGAACATGAAGACAGACTTCAAGAGAGAGCGGATGACAGCAGGGCCTGGTATGCTGTGGTCCATGGGTTCACTAAGAATCAGACATGATTGAACTATTGAACAACAATAACAAATACAGATGTTATATGCAAAGCATTATCACAAATACATCTGCTATCCCATGCAGTCCAGCAGAGCAGATGGAGAGCTAGCTACACACTCAGGAAGACCTGGGCTCATCTGCAAAACTCTCACACCTAGTGATTGTATGGCTATCACCCGCCTCTTAGTGCCCAAGACAATTCTCCAAGTCAATAAATTGCTGAATAAGTAAATCTGGATTGGTAGGATGTCCTCCCAAGGAATTCTCTATACCATATAAATCACAGGTTTGGGGCCCTAAAACAGATTCCTAAACTTAATCCTCCCCTTAAAATATGCACTTTCGGGGCAGCTAGGTGGCGCAGTGGATTGAGCACCAGCCTTGAAGTCAGGAGGACCTGAGTTCAAATCCAGCCTTAGACCAAACACTTGACACTTACTAGCTGTATGACCCTGGGCAAGTCACTTAACCCCAATCGCCTAAAAAAAAAATAAGCACTTTCTAAATCCCCCTTTTATTTTGCAGTTCCTACAAACATTACAACAACGACTATGTATTTCTCATCTGCGATTTCCACATCTTCATCTCCATCAAATGGTAATGTCTTTTTTATTATTATTATTAAATTATATTTTATTTTCATAACTGCATTCTTTCCCTCCCACCCCCAATTGGTAAGGTGAAAAAAAAATCTCCTACTGCAAACATGTATAGTTAAGCAAAACAGATTCCTACCATTAGCCATGTCCAAATTTATATGTGTAAATAGATAGATAGATGCAAGTATATATATGTATATATATGTATGCATGTATACATACACATATGACTATACTTTCAGTTCATCACTCAAGAACAATTTATATAATAATAGCAATATTATAAAGATATACAACTTAAAAACGCTTAAGAACTCTGATCAACATAATGACCAACCACAATTCCAGAGAGTTCAAGATGAAACATGCTATTCAGCTCCTTGAAAGACCCTCTATTTCGTTGAATATCCATATAATCACCTCAAGGATTATACTCAGTTTTCCTGGGTAGGTGATTCTTGGCTGTAATCCTAGCTTTTTTGCCCTCCAGAATATCCTATTCCAAGCCCTTCAATCCTTTAATATAGAAACTGCTAAATTTTGTGTTATACTGACTGTGGTTCCATGATATTTGAATCATTTCCTTTTAGCTGCTTGCAATATTTTCTCCTTGAACTGGGATCTCTGGAATTTAGCTGTAACATTCCTGGGAATTTTCATTTTGAAATCTCTTTTAGGAGGTGATGTGTGGATTCTTTTTATTTCTTTTTTACCTTCTTATTCTAGAATATCAGAGCAGTTTTCCTTGATAATTTCCTGAAAGATAATGTCTAGGCTTTTTTTTAAATCATAGCTTTGAGGTAGTCCAGTTATTCTTAAATTATGTCTCCTGGATCTATTTTCCAGGTCAATTGTTTTTCCAATGAGATATTTCCCAGTCTTCTTTTTTTCATTCTTTTGATTTTGTTTTATTGTTTCTTGATGTCTCATAAAGTCATTAGCTTCCAGTTGTACAATTCTAATTTTCAAGGAATTATTTTCTTTAGTGACTTTTGTACCTCCTTTTCCAGTTGGCCAATTCTACTTTTTAAGTTGTTTTCTTCAGTGGATTTTTATACCTCTTTTTCTATTTAACCAATTCATCAAGGCATTTTTCTCTTCATTTGACTTTTATGCCTCTTTTACCTTTTATCCTATTCTATTTTTTAAGGTGTTACTTTTCTTCAGTATTTTTTGTGCCTCCTTTACCAAGCTGTTGACTCTTGTTTCATGATTTTCTTATATTACTCTCAATTCTCTTCCCAAGTTTTCCTCTACTTTTTTTACTTGATTTTTAAATTCCTTTTTGAGCTCTTCCATGGCCTGAGACCAATTCATATTTTTCTTTGAGGCTTTGAGCAGCTTTGACTTTGTCTTCTTCTGAGTTTGTGTTTTGATCTTCCCTATCACCTTAGTGACTTTCTGTAGTCAAGATCTTTTTTTTTGGATGTTTGCTTATTTTTCCAGTCTATTTTTTTTTTACTTTTAACTCTTTGCTAAAGTGGGGCTCTGCTTCTGGAGTAGAAGTGGCACTGTCCCAAGCTTCAAGTTTTTGTGCACCTGTTTTCAGAGATAATTCTGAGAACTTGTACATTTTCAGTTCTTCCAAGGTGGTATGATCTAAGGAAAGGTATATTTATTACTGTCTTGGCCTGTGCCCTGGTCTGTGAGTGACCACAGTCACTCTTTTCTCTCCTGGAACTGTGAGCAGGTTCCCTCTTACCCTGCTGCTCTGGTGTGCTAGTACTCCTCCTCACCTTGAGACTGAGACCCAGAATTGCAACCCAGAGTATGAATGAAACAGTCTTGCCCCCAGTGCCAATGACAAGATCCTTGCAATTTCCTTCTGACAAGTTGTCTGATCTCCTTAACCTCTGTAGGCTGAGAGGTCAGAAATAGCCACTGCTGCCACTGACTTTGTCACCCCAAAGGCCTACTACTGGTTTGCTGGGGCACAGCCTATGCTGGACTGCTCTCCACTCTCACCTCAGTTTCAATAGACTTTTCATGCTAATCTTCCAAGTTCTCTTGAGCTAGAAAACTGTTTCACTCCATCCTTTTTTGGATCCAGAATTTGTTTTGAGGAATTATTTAAAATTGTTTGGATGGATTTAGGGGAGAATTCAAGTGAGTTCCTGCCTTTTCTCTGGCATATTGGCCCCACCTCCCTTATTCAGCTCCTGATAGAAAGATGATGGACTTCAAATGATAATGTAGTGGAAATCATATTCATTTATGTGCTCACATTGAGAGACTTGTTCCCTTAAAAGATTCTTGTTGTGATAAGTTCATTTCTATCCCCAATTATTTTTTCATCTGTGAAAGATCAACAAAAGGAGGAAAGGGAATGGAAAGAAGGAAGGAAGGAAGGAAGGAGGGTGGGAGAGAAAGATAGAAACAAGAAACAACACTCCAACAGTACAAACTACCATAATGTTCCTTTTGAGTCTGAAAATGAATACCAGTGGTTAACAAGGGATGTTAGTTGAGAAAAATAAGTGAATCATTAAAACTCTCCCTGACAACCAAGGAGGAAAAAAGTCTTGAGTTCCTGTTCTACGGGTTGGACCTCTGTACCTGTGAGTCACTGACATTATCATCACATAAGAAGGACAGCACTTTCTCAAAAACGACCACTTTTGGTAAACCCTTCATTGTCATATAAACTTGATCTTAAACTGGCATAATTCTTCAAGGAATAATTGAACCCCTGTAACAATTTCCCTCTTCTAGTAAAAAATGAGACTGTTCAAACTACAGTGGATACTCCAGGAAAACTGAACACTTCAGTGGTAACAGAATCAGTGACAACATCACCAGTAAGATCATTGACATCAAAATCAATGCCCTTCACAAACACTGGTAAGTGACAACTACCTGATATGAAACCAAACATGGAGAGCTAAAAGAAAGGTAGTAAGTTATACTCAGAAATTATGTTATAGATTGGTAAGTGGAGGTGTAAATTTGGGTATTTTCTGAATTTTGAGGCTATTTTCACCTGAGAACAATGAACCATAGTCTTGGTTTTATACATGAACTTAGATCAGGGATTTTCCTTATCTGAAGTTCTTCACTGAATTTCTTGATTGCAGAGTAATCCATTTCTGGATGCAACATGCTCTAAGTCTATCTTTAAAGAACATTTTTATCAGTTGGCAAACAATGAATGAGAGGGAGACATAGTGGATAGAGAAATGAGTTCAGAAACTGAAAGCAACAGTTTCAAATCCCACCCTGGCACAGGACCCGAAGTTGCCAATTTGCATTGGTAAAGGGAGTTGTCACTGGGAGTTCCCTACAGCGATGAAGTCATATATCTGAAATATGCTCTGCCTCTACTTTAAAAACTGCTATGTCTTGCACTATAAAGAATCCTTTGCTCCTTCCCAGACTCAGTTCAAAATTCACCTCTTTATGAAGCCTTTCTTTAATCTTTCCAGATTCTAGGGGCTTCACCCCAAAAATAATCTTGTATGTTGCATTTGCCTGTGCAACAGGGGGTACAGGTTGTCTTCCCTGGCTAGACTGTAAACTCTTTGAAGGCAAGAACTGATTAACAATTGTCCATTTATCCCCAGTGCCTGGCACACAGCAGGTGCTTAATAAAATCTTGTTGACTTAGTGACTGATTGATAAAGCCGGTCATTGAAAATTCCTGGCAGGGTTCTAAAGTCCCACACTACTGCACTCTGGACAGTATAGTGAACCTATACCAATGGAAAGGTGGGTTGCTCTTCAGAGATATTAGATTATAGAAACAAAATCATGTTTATAATTCTTCAGTAGGAATGTCATCAGTAGCTGAAGGTCTGCGGCTCTATCTGTTGTACAGTAACAACAAGCATTGGATAGTAAAAGGAAAGCTTCCTAAAAATTATAACTGTGCCAAAATTAGATGGGCTGCCTCAGAAGTCATTTACAAGTTGTCTTTTTGTTTGTTTGTTTGGTTGGTTGGTTAGGGTTTTTTTTTTTGGAGCCTACTAGTGCCAGGTACTTTGCCAAATATTTGAAGATATTGAAATCCCCATCATTAGAAAACTTGTGTCAGAGACTGGATGGGCAATTGTAAGTACATTATAGAGTTATTCCTAATCAGATACAGGTTGAACTAGTTGACCTCTGAGGTTGTTTACAACCAAGACTGTGCTGGTAAATTTTTAGCAACTAGTTCTTCAGGGTGGAAAAATGTATGCACTATATATTTTTAAGTTTATTTTCCACATTTTCTCCATGACTTTCTTAAGTCCAGGCAATCAACAAAACAATAAATCAAACTCTGATTTGCAACATTTGCAATGTCTGAAGTGTAAATGTTCTCACTGAAAATTTAACAATCAGCTCTCCCAAGTTGATTCCAATTGGATCCAACAGAGCCCTACTTCCTACTCTAAGTTTTTCTCATACTAGTTTATGTTTTCTGAGATTATATGTGCAGTGGGAGTCTGTAACATGCACAAAGGGTCTCAGATGGTGTCTCTGTCCAAGAGGTGAGGGAGCTTGTTTCTGGGAGAGTTGTAATGATGTCTAAGGGAAGTGACTTGGGGAGATGGTGGAGTGTATGGAGATGTTCTGAGTGAATCTGTTCTTCTAACCATGTGGTGAATTCACCATTCAACCATGGTGAATAGGAGGGCTTAACACTGCCACTTTTGCCAGTCTCTTGAAAGAGCATTAAACACTACATTAATTTTCTATCACATTGGCATAAGCTTGAAAGATTAGAATCATACTCTTCTCTCTGTCATTCATCTTGATCTATGATTTTCTTGATCATCCCCACCAAAAAAAAAAAAACTAGCAAAAATGGATAGACCACTGGATTAAGTAAAGATGAGTAAGTAAGGATGAAGTAAGGGTAACTTGAATTCAAATCTAACTTCAGATAGCCTCAGTTTCTTCATTTATAAAATAGGAATAATAATAGCACCTACTCCCAGGGTTGTTGCGGGGATAAAATGAGATGATAGTTATAAAGTCCTTTGTAAATCTTAAAGCAATATATACATGCAAGCTATTATTATTATTACTTAAGAATCTTAGATCACAGATCGATCACATTAAAACCTATATATTATATCAATTTGTTCCAACATTGTGCATGTTGCCTTCAAGTAATCTCCCCTTTCTTCTCCTTGAACCATGAATTTAGGTTCCAGTTTAGTAGAAAAAGGTCCTGATAGATTTGATTTGGGGTTGGATTCAGGTTAGAGAACTTCTGAGACATTTATCATTTATTTCCAGTCAAGATTGAAGCCTGAACAGGAAGTAGTCCACTTTGCCCTGAAAGACCTACTCCACAAACCCTGATGTTCATACCAGACTGAATGAAAGAAATTCAATAAGAAGTACAGTAAGTGACATATCCCACCCTAGAATTGCACACAAAAAATGTTAGTGAGAATGTCACAGGGAATAAGAAAAGGATCCCTCAAAATGATCTTGACTGGAGCCAGGGTGTGTGGAACCAGAAAGGTTCTGTGTATAGGAGAAGAAAAATCAAAAGATTCTCTTGACAAAGCTCTAGGGTGGTCAGTAAACCCTAGGCTGTGGACCCCAAAACTCTAAATTCCATCTTCTCCCACCTTTGAACATTTTCACAGTCTGTACCCCCATGCCTGAAATTCACTGTTTCCTCACCTCCACCTCTTCCTTGGATTCCCTCAAGGTTCAGCTTAGAAATCAACCAATCAATCAGTCAATATTTATTAAGTGTCTACTATGTTCCAGGCACTGTGCTAAGTTATGGGGACACAGAAAGTGGCAAAAGGCAGGCCCTGCCTGCAAGGAGTGAGGAAGTGAACATTAAAACAAATATACACGAAGCAAGCTATGTACAGGATAAATAGGAAATAATTAACAAAGAGATGGCATTGCTATTAAGACAGGTTGGGGAAGGTTTCCTATAGAAGATGGAATTTTAAAGGAAGGCAAGGGGGTCAGCAGTCAGTGTGGAGAAGAAAGAGCATTTCAGGCATGTGGGACAGTCAGAAAGGCCCAGAGAGCATAAGTAAGCAACTACTAGTGACCAGCATAGTAACAATGAATATGGAGCTTCATTGGTCCTATCATAACTGCCCAGGCCTACAAGCACTGAGGTCCTTAACACTGTGTCCTGGGATGAGAGAGAGAAAGAGAGAAAGTTCTAAAACTCTAGCACTGTGAATCTCAAAGATTTTGAAGTGGGGATACAAACCTCAGGAAGTAAAAATCAGCACACGAATCCAAGGTTCCAAGAGCAAGACTAAGTAAGACTGACTGTACCACCCAAAAGTGCAGGGGGACAGAAACTAGTCATGGCAAAAGTCCCATTCTGGAACCAAAGTAAAGGAGATAAATGAATACAAGAAAACATGGACCAATCTCAGAAATTATTTTAGTCTAACTCCATAACAAGCCTGGGTAGAGACTCAAAGGAAAAAAACACATTTTTCATAAGAACTACATTAATATCAAGAAGAAATGATGTGAGAGATTAAAAAGTGGAATAAAAGCTCTGAAGAAGGAATTTGAATTTGAATAAGTAGCTTAGAAGAGAAAGTGTTAAACCTTACCTAAGAAGTGGGACTTCCTGAAAATTCAAATAGAACAAACAGAAATCAACAATCTTATGAAAGAGAAATAAATATTAAAACAAATTCAAAAGATGAAAAAATAAAAGAAAATATAAAATATCATATTGAGAACAAGTGACCCTGAGTCAGGTCACTTCATAGTGAGACCTATGAGAAATAATTTAAAAATCATTGCTCTCTCTGAAAATCATGATAACACAAAAAACCCTGGACACTATATTTCAAGATATCATAAATTGAAACAACTTATATTAATTAAAACAAGAGGGTAAAGTAAGGATAAAAAAATCTACCTATGACCTTTCAAATGGAATCACACAGTGAAAAGTCCTAGGAATACCATAGCCAAAATTTGGAGCTCCTCATCAAAGAGAAAATATTGCCAACTTTTATAACAGAGTTCAAGTGCTAAGGAACTAAAGGTAGAATCACACAAAACCTGGCAACTGCTGCTTAAAAACAGAGGAGATCACAAAATACAATAATCTGAAAGATAAAAGATAAAGGTGTACAAACAAGAACAATTTACCATGTAAAGTTCAGTAAAATCTCACAGGATGAAAAAAGGAAGAGGGGATTTTCTAGCATTCCTGATGAAAAGACCAGAGCTGAAAAGAAACACTGAAATAAAAACACAAGATTCAAAGAAACCTAAAAGAGTTATTTGAGCAATTGGAAGATGCAAGAAGCTGTGCTAACATTCTAACAAGAGGAGAAGAAATAAGAGTTCCTTCAGATCAGGCCTGTACAACCTGGAACCCGGGGGCCACAAACAGCCTGAGGATTTCAGGCAGCCCACAAAGGATGTTTTCTTCTACATTTTTCATGGGTCACCTGAAATCCTTTGGTGGTCCGCAGGTTGCACAGGCCTGCTTCAGATCCTAAATGTCTTCAAAGGATAACGAGGAAATTAAATAAGAAAAAAAAAAGTCCAGAAGTAGATTGGTACTCTTCTGAGAATTCAAAAATGGAAAAGAAATAGGAAGGTAAAAGGAGAAAACATTAGCATAGAACAGAAGAAGGGTATTGAGGTACATGAAAAGAAGAATACGTAAACATATAGGAAAGAATGAGGTGAATGGACATCATATAAACCTCACTCTTAACTGAGGCTGACAAAGGAGGATTGAAAACACACAAATGGATAGGTGTGGAAATACATCAAACTCAATAGAAATTGAAATGGAGACTCATGGCTTCATATCAAGTGCTCTTTTTGTGTTCTGCTGTGGGTATGGAAATGCTCTTTTTTGGCATTTACATCTAGAATAAGGGAAGGGAGGGGAA